TATTCCCTCGTCACATTATTCAGCAAACGAGGAAATGTATTTTAACATAAACCTGTCTACAAACTGAAAGAGTTCTACGTAAATTAAAAATACTTTGAACTGTACCACTGAATAAAACAGCAATAACAGAGTTCCCAAAGCGTACTGTAGCTCTGGTGCCTGCCACGCCAGATTCTAATTTGTGAAATTTCCTGAAATATTTGATTTGATTGACATAAATTCTAATAAAATATCTAGTATAACACCCTGGTCCACTGTAGGGGTTCAAAACGTTTTTCAGTATGCAAAACGGTTTCAATTATTAACATCATGAATGATAATTATATACTCTTTGTTTACGCAACAGAAAAGAAGGGGTTAAGAGGTCTTAAATATGGCCAGCAGCCATATCACTCTGTAACTCACAACTGGCAACCCACTGAAGCTTAGCAGGTGTGAGCCTGGTCAGTACCTGGATGGGAGACCTCCTGGGAAAAACTAAGGTTGCTGCTGGAAGAGGTGTTAGTGGGGCCAGCAGGGGGGGGGCTCACCCTGCAGTCTATGTGGGTCCTAATGCCCCCAGTATAGTGACAGGGACACTATACTGTAAACAGGCGCCGTCCTTCGGATGAGACGTAAAACCGAGGTCCTGACTCTCTGTGGTCATTAAAAATCCCAGGGCGTTTCTCGAAAAGAGTAGGGGTGTAAACCTGGAGTCCTGGCCAAATTTCCCATTGGCCTTTACCACTCACGGCCTCCTAATAATCCCCATCTCTGAATTGGCTTCATCACTCTGTTCTCTTCCCCACTGCTGGTGTGTAGGGAGCAGACTGGCACAATGCATCACATCATCAAGGTGGGGCTGCACATTGGAGGGGTGCAGGTGGAGGGGAGTCCCCATTACCTGTAGAGCGCTTTGAGAGGAGTGTCTAGAAAAGCGTTATATAAGTGTAAGCAATTATTATTAATTTTTGTTGTGGTCTAGGTTGTGGTCAAAATGTGCCATCTGAAGGACTGTGCAATATTTTACATTGCTATTTAAAACTAACAGACCCATAATTTATATAATGGTAGTTGAAAAAACAAAAGGTGCTAAAACAAGCAAAAAACTAATGGTTTCTCACAGTTAGATTGCAGCAGATTCAAAATGAGCTGAAGCCTTTAAAACAGTCCAGACTGCTTCTAAAAAATAGTGTAACTGTAGACTACTTCACTAAACAAAACCGATGAATTTTAATAATACTTCTGAGGAAAAATAATTTACAGACTGTTTAAAAATATCCTACATAACATTACAGAACTTGCTTTAGAAGATTCTGCACAATTTACATTCAGATTATATTTCAGATGAAAAACATAGTAAATATATATCATCATAGACTTTACCTCCCAAGTTTTGCTCAAAGCTGTACCATTATGTAGATCTACATGAGCGTTGCATATTTTTATAAAATTTCTAGAATAACTATACAATATCGGAGACAGCACTTAGCTGATTTTTGCCTTACTTCTTCGAGTGGTCAAGGGCAAGGATTCTGATCATTCGCTGACTGACTTCTACAGAAGTGGTTAATGTCAGTCAGGAAAACACATCTGCCATATTTCATTTTAGGCAACATGTCTAGCTTTAATCTTAAAATAACATATATATATATAATTACCAGAAGAAATTTTAAGAGGTCAATTACAGCATAATTATCAAATCCAAACAACTAACCTGTTAAATAATCATGACTTTGATAGCAATTTGTGCACTCGATCTTATCCAAAGCTCAGTGCAATCAGCAAGAATCTGTGGTGTTAAGGGCAGGATGAGAAAACAGGCGTTGATATACTGGGTGATGATGACACCTTTTTTAAGATTTAAGAAGGTAAAAATAATTTTAAAACAGCCTTGAAATAGCCAGCTTCTTTGACTTTCCTTTACAAGATGAGAACAAGAAAGCACCAGAAGCATGCTATCAACAAAGCATATAAACACCCTTACTGTAGCATCATGGAGCCAGTAAAATTTTGTAAACATATTAAAATGACCACGTTTACTTGGAAAGTTGTGTCAGAACAAAAAAACATATGACCAAGAAGGCCCATATTTATTTCAGATTATGTAACAGCAAAATAATACATGCAATTGATTCCAATTGGGCTTGTTATTTAATTATAAGTCTGCAACCACAACTTCATTCTGAGCCATAAGGACTGGTTATAAGGTTAATTTAGCAGACAGGAACACTTATGAGCTTAGGAGATCAATCATGTGATTCTCAAAATCTTCGTCAAAACAGAATGATTAAATGAGAATGTAAAACTCATACTGAAGATTTTCCATCTGATATTCCCAATATGTTTATTGCTATGACGAAAAAGATAATAATGCATTCTGCAATAAGTTAAACCACATGCCACTCAGCTATTCACTGTGCACTTTATGTCCATTATTTCCAGTATTTCATTACTGTGTACTTCATGTCCAGCATTCATTACAGAAATATATCCCCTTCAGGGTACAAAAAGCTGGAGTGATTAGGCAAGGATAGTGCGGCATTTATGTTACATAATAAATATATTTTAAAGTCCACAAATGTTTTTTTAAGACTAGCACTCTTATGAACCGAGGCAAAAAAACCTTTTCCAAGAGTGAAGTAAACTCTCTTCAATATCTCTGTATCGTGTTCACTTCCAGTAAACTCTCTTCAATATCTCTGTATCGTGTTCACTTCCTACAATCACTCAGCTTCATATGAGAGCTTATAATTAATTTGGCCATCGATTCATACCATTTACGCATTAGTAAATTAATAAAATTAGCTGTAGATGTATGTAAATAAGTAATCTGCTAAAGCAGTAAAATAAACGTAAGGTGTCAAAATGTTTTGTTTTCATTTTATCAGCAGTTTGATTATGCATATTAAAAAGGCAATAACTGCATACTCTTATCCTCCATGTGAAAGCATGGTTCCTGTACTTTGCCAACAAAATAAAATATCCTGATGTTCCAGGGAAGATTACTCTCCAGCAGTCCAATTTGCTTTATTTAAGATTCAGAAAATCTCTAGAGAAATGCCTATAAGCAGCATGCTAATTTAAGGCTATAAACCAGAAGGACAGTCCCACAGTACCTGTGGACCAACAGTTTCACTTTATACTAAAGACCTCTTCTTTCAATGACTTCGGTGTACCTAACAGATCTGACCTTTAAAGCAAAATAAGGAGAATTCTTTCACATTTTAAAATCTGTAGATCAAGAGGCAAAACAAAAATAAGCAGAAAGAAATTTGGGTTTTGTACGATCGTGCATTTTTTTAATTAAACATTACAAGACATTTTTTCACAGTAATATTTTAAATAAAGAACACCATTATTTTTCCAGAACCAGAACTGTGTGGGGATATTGTTTATAACTTAGTGTTGTGAAATACATATTTCATATATTTGTTTTAAGTTTTTTGTGACATAAAAAAATACAACACTCTATGATTGTCCTGCTTTCCAGCACTGTGAAACAGCTGGTGTGCTATGACCCCAAGTGTCTAGGGGTAAAGGGGTGTAACAATAAGGATAATTTTTGGTTGCAGGTGGGTTCTGGTGAGGGACTTAGGAAGCGTGATAACAAGTGTTGGTGCAAAAGTGATTATTTTAAGGTGAATAAGTGACCGGTACGTAATAGGACACAAGAACACACAGGGAAAGAGAACTAGAGTGGTGCCAAAGAAAAGAAAGTAACAAACAAAATGGAGCTGGCTAAGAAGGTGAGGGAAAGCTGACCTAACTACAAAAGAAAACCCCAAACACTTGGTATTCGGCGTCTTCTAACGCCCTAGCTAACCTCCACTGACTACCCAAGACCATACAAGACAAAAGGCACTCACCTGTACTAAACTAGTGTTACTAATACAGACACCAACTATGTGTGCAGAAGGTACCCAACAACCTAAACTAACTCTATACACAAAAGTTCACATAAATACACAAGTGAATTACGAATACCAATAAGGGAAAACGAGAGTAGACACAAGGAATAGGGTACAAAAGAACACAGGTTGATACAATACGTCTGGGCAAGGTAATGGCTAAATAAAGGATAACACAAACCTTTGTTTACACGAAGTAAAACAAAGCCGAAGCAAAACCAAAAGCTAAATGAAACCGAAGCAGAGCCAAGCAGGACCGAAGTCAAACGAAAGGCCCCGTCATTCTGACAACCTCCAAGTTATATACTGAATAAGCTGCACTCTGATTGGCTGAGAAGCTGATTGATGATGACGTCACAGGGAAACAACAGTGTAATGATGAACCAATCGGGGAGGGAGAACAATCAAAGTGAGGAACGTGGATCACAGCAACAAAAACACACATGGACCACATACTGGGACAAAACATGGTGCTAATTGTTAATACTCACATTCCCTTTATATTAGTTCAAGTTATATGTTCATTTTATAATCTCTTTAGCATCGTGACAGTTTACATTTCTATTCTAATAAAATCAATGAAACTTTTTAAATGACTAAAACACTGACAGTGCCATTGGATTAAGTTTTCAGATGTACTATTTCAACAATATTAAATGATTGGTGGGATATTTATTCTGTAATACTCTTAGAACTCCTAACAAAAGTTGTAATACTCCAAGAAAGAGAAAATACCCACATACACATCCAATTTAATAAAGTTGTGCTATTTAAAGCAATGTGTGAATTAGTCATCTGACTAAAAGCATGGTCGGAACCCCAATATAGCACTTCAGGCATTTAAAAGAATGTGCTGGATGCCCTATGAACATGTAAAAATCCCTGTGAAAAATCAAGTGATACTGTGACCATATTTAGGCAGCTGGAAGTTGGGTCACTTCAAATGTAAAGTCAAAATCACACATCTACAGTGAAACAAATCTAGGTGAATTCACATTTTCAACCCACAATTACATTGCAGCTCTTTTCATGTGACTCTTTGAAATCAGATTAAACCTACATCATACAGTGTTCTTATTTCGATTTCATTTATTCATAGTGCCGCCTTACCTTGCAAACCGTTTCCGTGTCCCATGGCAAAATCGTCTGCAGGTCTATGACTTCACACGAGACTCCAAGCTTCTCCTGCGCCATATTTGCGACTTCCTTCATAACATGGACCTGAGAAAAGAGTATTGTTCAAGCTTTACACACAATCAGGTATACAAAAAAGGTACAGGCAATGTTAACATTTCCACTGCCTAAATGTACACTAGAAACAAACTGCAGTACATACTGTATACCACCTAACTTTTCAGAAACACCTGGTAATTGAATTGGCAAATAAACCTATTTTATCTATTTTATTAAGGACAATGCATTATGAATTAGAAGTTAATTATGTTAATTCAAAACACTTTCTATAATAGATTTCCTTTTCCGCTCAGACAAAAGTACAATGCTGGAAGCACAGTTATATGCTCTGTGACTACTTTAAAAAAGTCCTTCCTAAACTCAAAAAATAATTAATTCTAAAAATCACTATATAATCTTAATTTCAATGACAATTATTTGAAAAAAATGAAATTGTTCCGATTGAAGAAAGTTTAGTTTTACAACAGGATACAGATTAATGCTTAGGTTTTTTTTAATGCTTAGGTTTTTTTTTACCAAATTGCTTAAAATAATTTAAGAATAATTGTTTTTGTTTGTGCTAATTTCATTATCTACCTGTCCATGTTAACGTTTTTCTTACTGTAAAGTGGTTTGAGAAGCAACTTTAAAATACTGTAAAGGTACTTAATAATAATAATAATAATAATAATAATAATAATAATAATAATAATAATAATAATTCTTAATTAGCACGAATTAATAGTATACTATTTTTGATATCATGCCTTTACAGTATTTTAAAAAAAGTTTATTTTCATTATTATTATGATTTAGGATTATTATTATTATTTTGAAAAGGAAAAAAAATACATTTTCAGGTGATTATGCATTTTAGCAAAAGACGACGAGCTAAAAGGGGGTATAATCAAGTATTACAGAAGTGCAACGAGGCAAGGAAAAAACATAAAAGAATGACAGCAGGGGATGAAATCAAAGGTAACAAAGGCCCGGAGGGCAGAAGGGAAGGTGACAGGGAGATTTATGATGAACTTAGATACCAATCAGTACAAGAACAGGTGATCAGTGCAAGAACTCCAGGTGAAAGGTGCAAGTCAAGTTCTACATTGAGTTAAGGTCATGCACTTTTACTTCAACCAGTACTTCATATACTGGTTGAAGAGTGTGCAATCACAAGACTGCAGGTCTGGAGGCCACCCTGCTGGGCAAGGCGGAACTTTGAGAACGGCTCACACTCACACACAATACAGGGCAAAGCAGCAGAACTGCTTTAATCTCTGCAAAGGTCCCCCGGTGGCGACAATCCCTCAAGTGTAGTTCTAAAGACGTATAATAACATTCATAAATGATTCAATAAAGTGCATTGGGGCAATGTTGGCACAGGTGATATGTGATGTGAAAACAATGAAAATGACTTCCTTCTTCCTTGGGTTAGCCAAGGCAATCTTAAAAATGAACAGGTATAAAATCTCAATCAGTTCTAATTAATAAGATTCCACACATTTCATTCTGTGACGTATGATTTTGCATAACTGTTGTAGTTTTGCACATTGCCTGTTGTCTCTGTCTTTCTTTTCTCACACAATTGTATTGTTTTTTTTGTACTACAGTACGTACTGTCTGAGAGCTAACTAAAGAGCATTTCGTTATACCATATACCTGTGTATGAGTTGTAGTGTGCTCTCTGAAGGCACCAGTTCTGTAGGGTTTGGGCATTTACTGGGACAATTATTAATTGTA